TTGGGGGTATTTTGGGGGTGGCTTTGGGATAACTTTTGGGGTGATTTTGGGGGCATTTTTGTGGTGATTTTGGGGGTGTTTTCAGGGTGTTTGGGGGGATTTTTTGGGGGTGATTTTGGAGTGGTTTTGGGGTGATTTTTGGTCCTGGAACCCCCTCCCTGCCGGGCAGAGATGAGGGAGGTTCCTCCAGCAGGGCAGGAACTGCCACAGACTTTGCTCTGCAAATGTCCTGAGAAACAACAAAATGGGGGCTCCAGAGTTTTTGTCTGCTGGGGAATTTTTAAGGACAGGAAAAATCTTCATTGTAGAGCAAATAAAAGGTTGAAACTGCTACTTGCCTGCCTTGGGGAGACATAAATATTTTATATATATATATATATATAATTATAATATATGTTATATAATATAAATGTGATATCATGTAATATAGCTAATATAAATAATATATATTATATTATATATATAATATAATATGTATTATATGTTATAATATATTATGGAATATATCACATTATATATAATAATAGATAATTATACATATAATATATAATCTATATATAATATATAATATAATATATAATAAAACATATATTATATATTATAATACTGTAATATATTATGGAATATATTACATACATTACATTATATAATACATTACATATATTATATATATTTCATATATAATATATAATGTGATAATGTATAATACAATATAAATTATTATATATGTAATTTAATATATATTATAATATACAATATATTACAATATATATATTATGGAATATATTACAATATATATTATGGAATATATTACATACATTACATTATATAATATAGTACACATATTATATATATTTTATATATTATATATAATATATAATGTGATAATGTATAATACAATATAAATTATTATATATGTTATATAATATACATTATAATATATAATATAATGTAACATATAAAATATATTACAATATATATAATATATTATGGAATATATTACATACATTACATTATATAATATATTACACATAATATATATATTTTATATAATATGTATAATACACAGTGATAATTATAATACAATATAAATTATTATATATGTTATATAATATATATTATAATATATAATATAATGTAATATATATAATATATTGCAATATATAATAAATTATGATACATAAATATTATATACAAATATATAAGTAATAAATATATATAATATTTAATATATAAATTATATACATATATAATATACTATAGATATAAACATATATAAATATATAGAATATAAATATTTAAGTTAAATGGTGTAACCCTCCACTGGTTGCTTTATTTTGCACAGAGGTTCAGGTTTTTTACAGAGATCCTTCTTTAGGAAGCAGAAATTTTGGGTGGAAATAAACAACATTCCAAGATGAGTTTATACCATCCTCCACCACCCAGACATTCAGGCAGCAATTTGTATTTCTGATACCAGTTTCTGTTGTATTTCTAATTTTTATTTTTAATTCGTATTTCTAATTTGTATTTTTAATTTGTGTTTCTGCTTTGTATTTCTGATCTCCAGGTCAGTAACAACAACAGGCACTGAAAAGCCTTAAAAACCTTCTACAGAGCACAATTTAAATATGAAATACAGAGAATTTGTGCATCTACTGGTTATTTTTTTCTGACACACTGGAGGGAAAAAGTGAGACACTTTGAGGGGAAGAAAAAAAGGTCTGAGCCCGACCCCGAGGGGTTTTATAGGGCTGTGGCTCTTCAATAATTCAGAATTTCCCTGGGAGAAACCCCTTCAGGACTGAGTTTATCCAACTAAAAGGGTTTGGGTCCATCCGTAGGGATTTATATCCACACTACTGATTGTTTTCTAAACCACCCCAAACCGGGAATATCCGAGGGAAAACAAGAGGATCACGTGGTTCATCGGGACAAACCACTCCAGACCCTCTGGATTTGGGATCCCCCCCGTGAGGGGAGGGAAAAGGGAACCGGGGACTCTGCAGAGGTGTCCCCTGTGCCGGGATACATGACAACACTCCGCTAAATTCCCAGGATTCCCAAGGGGGGAAAACTGGTAGGAATTTGCATGGAAAACATGAGATAAAATATCAGAGGGAAAATCCCGGGTTTTCAAGCCAGGACACCAGAATGGGGCAAAAATAATATCCCTTATACTGTGTTTGTACCACTGAAACGTTTAACAGACCCTTTGTCACCTCTCAGCTCCAGCTGGGGGTTGTTATTTTTTTTTGTGTTTATTTAACCTTTAATTAATTCCCGGGAAATTTAGGGAAGCGGGAGGTGCCACGTTTTGGAAAGGGAATTAAACGATGATCCACCTGTGGGATCCCTGAAGAGCGTTTCCGTCGCAGGTTGTTGTGTCTGGATTTTGTGATTTGCCTTCGAAGAACTTTTTGCTCTTCAACGAGCACAAACACAGCCCATAATCCCGTTTTCCTCCTTCAGGATTCTACGGACACTCCGGAACAGAGCATCCAAAGTGTGCCTGTCCACAGCAGGGGGAGAAGTGGGTGTGGGCAGGGGTGAGAGGGATGGTTTTGCCCTTTAAAAATTAAAAAAAAAAAAAATAAAAAGGAGAAAAAGAAGCATTTAAAGAAAAAGGCGAAATAAGGAGAAGCCCTTTCCAAGCGGCTCCGGGTTATTTTGAACAAAAGCACGTTGAGAAAGGTTTTTAGAGGGTTTAATGCCACTTCCAGGAACAACACCTCGGACAAACCCCACGGAGGAAACATTCCCACGGCAAAAAAAAAAAAAAAAAGCACAGAATCTCGTCCTTACAAACCTCGTGGGTTTGATTTATTGATGATGGCACAGCCCACTGGGCTAACACAGAACTCTTTGACAAATGTCACCCTCATGCAGCGCAGCCTTACCCAAGTGTAGCTTTTATTATTTAATTTAAGTGTTAATTTAAGTTACTAAACTCAGAGAAAATTTACAGCTTCGTGTGCTGTTCATTAGGAAAAGTGTGAGCCACAGTGTCCCCGCTTTTCCTCACGTTATGGCAATAAATTGTCAAGGAAAGAACTTTCCCTCCCCCCTGTGGGGCCTGGCAGGAACAATTCCCCCGGATAATTCCCCTAAAATCCGTGTGAAAATCCGGTTGTTTGGTGTGGTGGGTGGTTCCCTGTCTCCTCCAGGGCTGGAAGGGCTTAAAGAGCAACCTGGAATCCCAGTGTTGGAGGAATTGTCCTTCAAAAACAACCAGAAGAAGAGACAACCAACCCAAAACACGGCCCAGCGCAGCCGTGGGGTCGCTCCTGGAAAAACGGGATGGGAGGGAACGGCGGAGGGAAGCGGAACAGATTGAAGGTGCAAGAATTGTCACGTGTGGAACCGACCCCCTGAGAGTTGGGTCACGGATCCCAGTGGGAATGTTGTCTCCATTGGCCAAGTCAGCTTGGTTGGAGGCATCCTGAGTGATCCCGTCCCAGTTATCACCGCTGTGGCGTTGGAAGCACATCAGGAGCCGTAAGGGAAGAAATGGAAACAAGGGAGGCACAGCTGGGAGGAATTCGGGAGAGATGGGAACCTTTCCCAGCCAGGGGGAATTTGGGAGAGACGGGAACCTTTCCCGGCCAGAAGGAATCTGGGAGATGGAACCTTTCCCGGCCAGGGGGAATTTGGGAGAGACGGGAACCTTTCCCAGCCAGGAGGAATTCGGGAGAGACGGGAACCTTTCCCAGCCAGGAGGAATTTCAGAGATGGAAACCTTTCCCAGCCAGGGGGAATTCAGGAGAGATGGGAACCTTTCTGAGCCAGGAGGAATTTGGGAGAGATGGGAACCTTTCCAAGCCAGGAGGAATTCCAGAGATGGAAACCTTTCCCAGCCGGGAACAGCGACACCAAACCAACAGGCGTGACCCCAGCTGAGGGACAGCCCTCGGGCTGTGGCTAAGACCACGTAAGTGAGCTTATTATGGACTCCTAAACCCCAAAAAAACGGGAAAACTGGGACAAACAACAGGCCACAACAACCCCTCAGCGCGGGGGCCGCTCTGTGGCCTCCGCGCAGGAGCTGTTGGTGCTCCAAGAAGTCACAGCAAAGGGGTGGCCTCCAGAAAGAGGGCACCTTGGCAGTGTCTGGGCAGACAAGAAGAGGTTTGGTCTCTTGGGAAAGAGCACTTGAGACCCCCCTGGTCCAAATCAACCTCCTCTCCCGTGCCCACGGCCCCATGAGGCCTGGCGAGGCCTGGTGAGGCCTGGTGAGGCCTGGCCCCGCGTCACTGGCAGTGCAGCAGCTCCTCCCAGCGAATGGGCTGAGAAAACACCTCCCGCTCCAGCCAGAGCTCGTAGGAGTAGTGGAAGTCCCGGGGCAGGTCGAGGCGCTGGCCCAGCACGCTCTGCAGGCAGTTGTCCACCGGGGCGAACTCGGGGGGCCGCGCCCGCTCGTAGCGGCGGCTGTTGAAGGCCTCGATGTTGGCCCGCAGGGTGCACTCCTCGGCCTGGAAGTCCCACGGCCTGGCGTCGATGTCTGCAGGGGAGGGGAGACAAAAACCAACACAGTGTGAGGGGGGGGAAAATAACAACTTCATAAAAGTTTGGGCAAGAGAAAGGGTGAAGATTTCGCAGCAAACACGTGCTTGAGTTGACCAGTCGCTTATTCCTTCTTCTTTTTCCACTTCTTTTCTTCTCACTTCTTTTCTTCTTTTTTTTCTTATTTTCATCTTACTTCTTTATTTTCTTCTCCACCTCCTTCTTTATTTTTCTTTTTTTCTTCTCCACCTCCTTCTTTATTTTTCTTTTTTTCTTCTCCACCTCCTTCTTTATTTTTCTTGTTTTCTTCTCCACCTCCTTCTTTATTTTTCTTTTTTTCTTCTCCACCTCCTTCTTTATTTTTCTTGTTTTCTTCTCCACCTCCTTCTTTATTTTTCTTTTTTTCTTCTCCACCTCCTTCTTTATTTTTCTTTTTTTCTTCTCCGCCTCCTTTATATTTCTTTTTTTCTTCTCCACCTCCTTCTTTATTTTTCTTGTTTTCTTCTCCGCCTCCTTCTTTATATTTCTTTTTTTCTTCTCCACCTCCTTCTTTATTTTTCTTGTTTTCTTCTCCACCTCCTTCTTTATTTTTCTTGTTTTCTTCTCCACCTCCTTCTTTATTTTTCTTGTTTTCTTCTCCACCTCCTTCTTTATATTTCTTTTTTTCTTCTCCACCTCCTTCTTTATTTTTCTTGTTTTCTTCTCCACCTCCTTCTTTATTTTTCTTTTTTTCTTCTCCACCTCCTTCCTTATTTTTCTTTTTTTCTTCTTCTTTTCTTCTTACTTCTTTTTCTTCTTAGTCACTTCTAATTCTCCTTCTCCTTATTCTCCTTCTTCCTCTCCTCCTTCTTCTTCTTCTTTTCCTTAAATTTTTTTTTAATTCTTATTCTTTTCTTAATTCTTATTCTTCCTAACAAAATTCCATTATGTATGCATTTTAATTTAATGCATCCTATAGAAATCTAATTACTCCTGCTTTAAGGACTCCCTATAATTACCATTCTGCTTTTTTTCAGAAAGACCCCAGGGCCTGACAGAATTAAAATGGTTTTGTCTTTTGGAAAAAAAAAAGGGAAGATGTCAGGCTTTTACTCCTTGCCTTGTTCTCTTTTGAAACAGGAATGCTGCCCAATTTTCCTGCCTAATCCTCATTGAAAACCCCTGGATCCCTGGAAGTGTCCCAGGCCAGGCTGGGGCTTGGAGCAACCTGGGATAGTGGGAGGTGGCAAGCGGTGGGACTGGATGATTTTAAGGCCCCTTCCAGCCCAAACCATTCCATGATTCTATGAAAAAGAAGCCACATGCAGAGCAAAAATTTAGGACTGAGTTATTCAGGCAAAAAGATAATTTAATACCTCTTGTCCTAAGCTTGAGTCAGTTGTTGCAGCAATGGGGGGCACTTACAGGGAGATGGAAGTGTGTGGTCTGGTGTATCCCATGACATGGTTAATACACGAAGAACATCACCACATCCCTCAAAACCACGTGGATTTTGGCTACATAAGCGCAGTTTAAACTGAGCAGCTCATTTAGTCCAGGCTTTAGCTGAGGAACTTGGTGTATCCTCACGCTGGGGTGAACCTGCTGAACAATTCAGTGACCCGGTGCCAGAAATGATGTGGGGATGCAGCAGTGAGCTCTGGGCTCGGGGGACACTCCAGGGGAGGTTTAGGTTGGATATCAGGAAGAATTTCTTTGCAGAGAGGGTGCTCAGCCATTGGAATGGGCTGCCCAGGGAAGTGGGGGATTCTCCATCCCTGGAGGTGTTTAAGGACAGACTGGATGTGGCATCAGTGCCATGGGCTGGGAACCACAGTGGTAGTGGATCAAGGGTTGGACTTGGTGATCTTGGAGGTCCCTTCCAACCCAGCTGATTCTATGATTCTATGATTCCTGCCGGGGAGCCCCGCGCTGACCACGGCCCGTTCCCACCGTTCCTGCCGCTGGAGCAGCTCATGGCTCCTCACCAAATGGGTCTGGGGGACTCGAGGAGGTGTCACGCCAAGCCCAGCCCAGCTGGAGGAGATGGTCCCGCTGACTCACCGTTGCCGTAGGCCCAGTCGTCGTTCATGCGGTGCCGCACCTTCTGGTAGATGGCTGACATGGTCTTCATGTTGCTCTTCCTCCACTGGCGCCCCAGGTACTTGGTCTGGATCTTTAGCAGCTTGAGCACGTAGAGCTGCAGCATGGCCTGCTTCACCTTCAGCGCCCGCTTCAGGATCGGCGCCGACTTGAACACCACCAGCATCTGCAGGAACCGGCACGGATCGAGGCAGGGCGGGCAAGGGGGCCACACAAACCCTGCCTGGGCCACACAAATCCTGCCTGGGCCACACAAATCCTGCCTGGGCCACACAAACCCTGCCTGGGCCACACAAATCCTGCCTGGGCCACACAAACCCTGCCTGGGCCACACAAACCCTGCCT